TTGCACAATGAATTTTTATTTATTTATGATGATATTTAGTGTTTTCAATTGTTTTGCTTTTATATACCATTTAACAGGATTTTTTTACAATGAATTGACATTGTTAGAAATAAATTTGTTGGTTGAATATAATGTTTTCGACTGCTTGTTCGTCGAAAATATTTGTCGACAAGATTAATTAATTTGTGACAAACTTTGCGATGACTAAATGTGGTTGAAAATATATATTTCCGATGAGATATTATATATTTTCCACAAACTCTTTTGGTCAGTAATGATAATTGAGACGAAATTTAGCCCTTGCAAATAATATATTATTGTTGGAAAATGTATTTTCGACAACACTCATTGGTCGAAAATATCAATTCGTGAAATCTTGATAAAAAAAAATTGTTTCCGACAATCTTTTAAGTAATTGCGACCACATGTACGGGTCGGAAATAAATATGCATGGTCGTTTTAAAAATTCATTTCCGATAGAAATTTAAGCAGCAACTACGAAACATGAGCGTCGGAAATACATTATTTCCGACGGAATGGTCGAAAAAGAAGTATTTCCAACCAGCGTTTTACCGACGACTTCCGACGGACTTTTGCCGTCGTAAAAGGGTATTTCCGACGGCAAAAGGCTTTTTTCGACAAAAAAAAAAAGCCCTCGCTAAAGGGGTTCTGTTTTGTAGTGATTCTAGATTCTGATGGCTTCCACATTCTCTCAACAAGGAACTCCATATAGAGATATCTGGTTTGATAGGCATGCTTTCAATAATCCTCACTGCCTGGTCTAAGTGTCCGGCTCGACCTAGGAGATCAACCATACACCCCTAGTGTTGGATCTTAGGAACAATACTGTAGACACTACCATATAGAGATATCTGGTTTTTATTTCCTATGTTTATTATAATATTTTGGGATTCTTTAAATTTTTTAAAAGTATTTTAAAAAACGCTTTTATTGTGTCAACCAAACACTCAACAAAATATCAAAAGCGTTTTTATGTAGTGTAAAAACGTTTTTAAATGTGACATCCAAACGACAAACTGCTTTTTTGTAGAAGCGCTTATGTCATAAGCGCTACTAGCATAAGCGCTACTGGCATAAACGCTTCAGAAAGAAGCACTCCCAAACGAGCCCTTACTTACCAAGTCTATCTCCTATCTGAAACGTCTTTGACGCAGCCCATTCGGAATAGAAAGAGGTGTTCGGGGGAACAGCCCAGCCCAAGCTGCCACCAACAACATAATCTTCTGCAGTTGCACCTTTCAAATTCAATAATGAAGGAAAAGCCACCGCCATAACCATGAAGCCAGCCATCACCATATTCATCTTGTTCATCATCCCCCTGCTGCGGCTTCTTAACTATGCTGGAGTACAAGTGTGTTTGCAAATTGCAATGTGAATTAGATATGACAAGTGTGTGTTGTTGTTGGTAGTAATTAATTAGTTGGTGTTGGATATTTATAGGCTCGGGTCGATACTCATGTAATGAATACGTACACGACAATGAAACTTAAATATATATATATATATCTTTAGAAATCCAAAGGGGAGCATGCATGTGCATTAATTCATGAATAATTCATTCCAATAAAATAAAGCATCTTCTGTGCCGCGAAACCCTTAAAAAATCTTTGAACCCTTCAATCCATCACAAGATGAAAGATCAAAAGGAAGCCAAGTTTTACCATTTCTCTCAGAGTCAAGAGACGTACGGGTCAATTGCGTGATGCACTTGAATTCAATTCAATTTTAGACATCGTCTTCTCTTCTTTTTCTCCTTTTTCATTTTTAAATGAGAATATATTACCTATTGGCTGTCGAAATTTGTTTACCTTGTACAAAACTCACAATTATCTGCCTTAAAAGGAAAAAACCAAAAATTAAACAAACCTTGAAAGATTTATTTATAGATAGTAAATATATGCCAAGTTATTAACAACCAGCTCCGGCGATATTATAAATCTTACAACTTCCGAACCTAAATACTTTTTTGCACCATATATACTACAATTGTTTTGTTTCCACCGTTGTTATATATATATATATACGCCTCTCTTGATTTACATCTAAGTCATTATTGTGCCCAAATGTATAACATAACATACATGTTTTCTTCATTTTATTTTATTTTTGCCATTGTTACGCCTCTCTTGATGTCCATCAAAGACAGATTCTCCTAATATGACATTGATCGATGTGTATTATTATTGTTGATAATATGATAATAACAAAATGTACCAACATGTTATTGAGAATATCGATACAAAATTCGGATCGAGAATATCGATACAAAATTCGGGCATCTTGTATGTATATAGGTTTTTCTTATTATATAATGTATTGTTTATATTTAGGCTTATTTACTACAACCCCTCCCAACATTATGGTTAAGTCTCATTTTGCCTGCGGAAGTTTAAGTGACCCACTTTTCCTCTTGACCAAGGTTTGTTGTTTCACATTACCCTTACCGTTAACTCCATCCAAAAGGCTATTAAAATTGTTGATGTGACATGGGTATTTCAGCAAAGAAAATACTAGAGAGACCACATTTTGTATACCACCTACCCTTTTAGTAAATATGTACATGTGGGTTATTTACTCACCAATATAGGTGATGTGGCACATTGTAGCCCACTACCATCATAATCGAAAGGGTAAACTACCGAATACCCCCTTGGACTATTTCGATTGTCGAAATGTCCAACCTGAATTATTTTTTCAGCCAATTTAGCCATCGTATTAAATTTATTCGCCAATTTCGCCCCTACCGTTAGCTTTTTCACAATTCCATCCAATGTTTGTCAAAAACACCACGTGAATGGCACGGGCTGCTTCTGTTGAGGGTAATCTCAGACTTTTCCCATCCATCAACAGCGACACCTTCTTCTCCACTTCCTCTGCACTCACAAACCCTTCTTTTGACTGAATTGGTATCCCCAGCTTCATCTCCTCCACCAAAACAGAGCACTTAAACTTAAAGCCCACCTCCAATCCAAAAATGCAAACAAAACAAATATAACAATTTGAAAGCAAAAACAAAGCAGAATCAAAGAAACCCAAAAATAAAATTCAAACCTTTTTGGCGTCTCTAGAAACGCCATAGCCGCTGTAATACATCTGACCCACCCGCCTTGGCCTCCTTGAGCGTGTCCTGGAACCACCATTTCGCACAGTCTGAGACCACCCGGGCCAGCGGAACTCGGCTTTGGCCTTTGGAGCTCTCCATCTTCAGCTTAATTCGCTTCGGGTCGACCCGAAAGCTCTTCGATTTCGGTGCTTGTGGGGGCGCAATTGGGACTTGCGAGACTTGCTTGGTGCATCTGGGCCTGCCTGAGAGCTTGTTCGCAGAGACAACTTTGGTGAACTCTTGGAATCTGGTGGCTGAAGGAAGTGCCTTTTCCATAAATAAAAAAAATATTATATTTATAATCGTAGCCGTTCAGATGAAGAATAATTATAGCTCTTTCATATGGAAATATTAAAGTTCCCTTCAAATCTGTGAGCCATGGAAATTGAATGTGCTATGGCGGAACAGGCTATATCCTACCCAGCCTATCCCAAAAGTAGAAGGAAAGATTACCGGGAACTATTCAAAACACCCAAGTCAAATTGTCGAAGCTCAATTCGCTTGTAGGATTTAGGCTTTTCTCCATGGATTTGGAAATGGAAAATGAGGCAAGGCAATTGGTTTGTTATCGAGTTTTCATGGTTTGGGTTTTGGGTGTTTCTGGGATCTGAAACTACACCAGACTTTCAGATTTGTGCAAGGTGGGTGATAGCTTGGTGTCTGCATTGTCTTTTCAATATAATTAATTCAATAAACCAAAATTCGGGGGATTTACAGCAGTTCTTTTTGATCTTCGTGTGATTTAGGAAGACAAACAGTGAAGCTGTGAAAAGGACGGATTACCCTTAACAGATGGCTCACGTGCCATTTACGTGGTGTTTTTGACCGGCATTTGAATGAAATTGTAGAAAAACTAACGGCAAGGGTGAAATTGACGAATAAATTTAATATAAAGGCTAAATTGGCTGAAAAAATAATTCATGGTAGACATTTCGATAGTTGAAATAGTCTAGGGGGGGTATTCGGCAGTTTACCCTAATCGAAATGACATGAGGGAATAGGTTGATGGGGAAGAGTGGGGCCTGGGTAGGGTTTTTTAGTTTTTAGTTTTTCTAATTTTATGTTATTTTATTATGTTGTGTAATTAATATTTTTTTTTTTGGTATAAGTGATAGTCTAAATTATATGGGAGGGGGATTTATCATACACACACACAACTATGATGTCATGAGGATTCGAACTTGAGACATATAGTTTGCAAGTCAATGCCCTTTTCCACTGGGCTAGACCCCATTGGTAGTTTTTAAAAATTTTAAAGGTAAATAATTTAGCAAAGATATTTGATACAAATTTTACTAAATAGCCCTTGCCACAGCAACAATTTTAACAGACTTTTGGATGGAGTTAATGATATGTGAAACAACAAACCTTGGGCAAAATGGGTTACTTGGACTTTCCAAAAAGTAAAACGAGATTTGACCATAATTTCGGGGGCACTGCAACAAATAAGCCTTATATTTAGGGAATTTTCCCACTCATTTTTTATCCACTTACACTCATTTTGTTAGAAATTGTATGTTCCCACTCCTCTTTTGTCCACTTATACTCCTTTTTTTGTTATAATAAAAACTATTAAAAAACAAAAGGGAGTGGGAAAATTACCACCCTATATTTATTGACAAACTTCGAATTGATTGACTGGGTTTGGGTTTAGGGCCGGTTTGTGTAAAGTTTAAACTGAGCATCACCAGGCCCAGCTCAACTGACAGGCCTGGGCCCAATTCATAAGTACACCCATTAATCTGATCTGTGCACTCAACATCCAAAAAAATTCCCCAAAAAAGAAGGAAAAAAACTTCCAACTGTCCCTGCATTGAATCTTCTATATATAATTGGGGGATGAATATTTTATTTCATAATAGAAAATGAATGAAAATTAACAAAAAGGATGAACACTTTCGACCAAAAAACAAAAACAAAAACAAAAAGGATGAACACAACAAATTCTGCCAATTACAAGAACATATATGAGGCAGTACATGGTACATTTGATTTAATTAGAAGCTCAAGAAGAAAGCTGCTATGGCACTGCAGAACAACAAGGCAGCAATATTAAGGGTGGGAGAATAAGCGCTGTTCCCCCAATCATCATCTCCTCCAATTTTGATAGTCACCTTCTGTCCCAAACCTTTGCAGTGATCGTCTACCGTGCATATGAAGTATCGGGTCAAGTTGGACGTCAGTGTAATTGGTACAGGGCTTGAATCATACAAAGCCAAAGGATTCGACTTTGTGCAGTTCCCGTAATTAGCCTCTGATACTTCAGCTACTGTGTGTGACCCAGTCCAGTTAAATACTGCAAAAACATCAAACAAAAAGTTTAGAGTTCAAATTTCACCGAAGACAGTTATTAGTTGATTAACCAAAACAACTTGATAATATTGAAGATATAAACAAGGCAAGGCAAATCTGGGTTAGGTCAGTTGACTACGGCAATGAGCCTCCCGCTTCACCATGAATCCCCTCCGCATAGTTGGGTTTTTGAAGTAAATAATAATTACCTATTGTATCACCAATCTGAAAGCTCTTTTTGTTAGCCCAGGTTTTATAGGCTATAGAGCCCAATGGAGGAATGTTCCAGCCTAAATCGTCTCCAACAGTGTAATTTTCAGCTGCGGCACCCTTCAACAGGGTCACCGCAACAACAAGAAGCAAGCAACCAACATGTAAGCCCATCTGATTAGCCATCTCTGTGCTGCTGTGTTCTGCTTTAGGTCGTCCCTGGCTCTCTACTTTTCTTCTCTTTTTGGAAATGTTTTGGTGTATGAATCATGTAATGTCGACTACTTATAAGATTGCTGGGATTGCTTTATTAGAATTCCTTTTTCTCTTTTTTGTTGATTCGGAACTGTATCAACCAAGCGAGTTCCTTGCTTTCAACATTGGCGACTGGTCGATGCCAACGTTAACTCATCATCATCTAGAAGTTTGACCATTTTATAAAAATCAACATATTCTTTTCATTTCAAAATGATTAACGCGTTATTCTCGTTCTGGAAGCAAAGACCAAAACATACGGTATTGTATAATTGTAATCTATGATTAAATGAAGCTGACTCAAGTCGTGATGGCAGAAAGCCGTCGTGTGATCGGGATTTGGAACTCAAAATTCAACCCCTTTTTTGTTGTTGTTGTGGTTTTTGGTACATTTAATTCAAACCAAAGCAACTACGTCTTTGTCTCTCTTTGCCTTATTTTTCCCAATTTAGGATATAGTAAACTCTGTTTCTGGTATATCCACTTTACAACAATGTGAAAGGTATATATGCGAAGTGACTAAATGGTAACCATGCCAGACGGAAAGGTATGGTCGTCATGACTAAATGGTAACCAGGCCAAACTAGAGAAAGCAGGCTATAGGAGGAGCTAGCTAGAGTGTCGCTTTAGAAAACCTGACATGATATACAAGTAACACTCTAAACACCTTTTATTGATAAATGAAATTGGGGAAAAAACCAAGTATAGCCAAGCTGCTATACTATTTCTTTTAAAATAGTATAATATTGTAGTAAATGTGAAAGTACTAAATTCTTTAAAAGGGTAATAATTCTGGAAAAGTGAAAAATCAAAAGGAGACAATAGAGACTCAGGCCTAATAGTAATGTATAATGTTTTAAACTACTCTTATCGATAAACGAAATTGGGAAAAAACCTGGGTATAGCCGAGCGGCTATACTATTTATTTTTAAAAAAAATTAGGAAAAAAACACTATTTCGCTTTAAAAAAATAAGAAAAAATCGAGTATAGCCGACCCTCCTAGTTGCATTAGTTTATACTTTATAGATATTAATTTGGTATAGCCGCGCGGCTATACGAATAAAATACGTACGTGTTTTATTTGGCAAATTTTTGGCCAATTACAACTTCAAAGTTCGGCAACTATATAATATTTGAGAATTATGTGTATAATACCTGAATTTTGTGTGTATTTTTGAAAATTTTGTAAAAATTGATATTCTACTTTAATCTAATATAAATTACGAGAAGAGAAATTCCAACTCAGGTGTAGAGTGGGGAGCACGTTCACTTTAGCCAACTTGACTAAACCTATGTATGTTAAGATGATTTTTAAAGTTAAAGGCGATCAAATTTTACTGAATGATGCAAGGAAGTAACCATTACAAAAAAAAATCAACTGCCCTAGAAGATTAGGCGAACCTTTATTCACATAAGAGTTGGGTTGTCAGTCCTTATTTAAAACATGAACAGTTTAATACGCCCAAAATAAAGCAGAGGCTTTAAACACAAGTTGACTGAGGTGCTGGCATGAAAAGCTATTAGCTATGGTCATTTTCGATTTTGAAAATACGAGATGAAGACCCATATTTTTGTAGGTCTCTAGTCTCTCTAGGCCTATAATATGAAACCAAGTGGCTCCCTCTGGATTTTGGCATTTGTCATAGGGAGCATTTTTGCTCACCACTTTAACCATAGGTGTATCCTCACCACCATCCTCAATGTTTGACACGTGTCCATAAGTACAATCATGATTCCATAAATACAAAGCAAAAGTTAACTATGGTTATGTCTATGGATACGTGTCAAGCATTGAGGATGGTGGTGAGGGTACACCTATGGTTAAAGTGGTGAGCAAAAATGCAGCATTTGTCATAGTAGTTTTACGTCTCTGTCTTAATTAAATAATCTGTCTTTTTGTCGTCCAATCCAAAGACTGGAAAATAGTCATCTAATGTGTGGTTTAAGCGGATTTGTTCTCTGCTTGACAGCTGAAGCGATTGGCATATAATCACTTTTGACATATTGTAATTTAATGAATTTATCATGTCCTCATGTGTGACGAGACGAAGCTGATATTTTCCCATATCAACAACAGGCTCGGAAGGAAATGGTCCATCCATGGTCCACCAGGCTATCGCTGTACATGCACGTAGCAAGTAGAACAGCTGCTGCTGCTGGCGTGGAACCAAAGATGCCTTTTCTAAAATCTAGATGATAATGCACCAAGAAGAAAAGAAAAAAAAAGAATATCTATCTACAACATTAGAAGTAGAAGATAAGGCTCAGTCTGGCACCATGTCAAACCCGAAATGTTGCAACTTTGAATTTTCTTATGGTAAACCAGACAAATGAATTGGTTGGAAGAGTTGGTAGAAAATTGAATTAAAAGTTTGAAACCAAACCATCTAATTTGAATTTTCTTTTTGTCCACAATATTAATATTCATTAATGAAAAACAAATGAACGGACGAAAACCTCCATAGCTGAAATGTCCAAAACTCTAAATCAGCTTTATTATTATTATGCAAAAAAAAAGTGATCAATAATATATTGTGTATAAAAACAACAATCACGTACGCCATCCCATATAGCGCTGCGCTGTCTAATAATTAATTAAAATGAATCACATCACGCAAATTACCTATATACCGACACGCATCCATCTAAAACAACAAAGCCAAAGCAATGGAAAGGAAGGTTGCAGATAGGCCAGCAACCCTAAGAGATGTTGCTGCACTTGGCGGTGGTGGTGGAGGGTTGCCAGATGGAGGAGGGGTAGTGCTAGTACTCGGAGGCGATGTCGGAACATCGGCCGGTGGAGGAGGAGAACTAGTACTGGGAGCGGGTGCCGGAACAGAGGCCGGTGGTGGAGGAGAACTAGTACTGGGAGCGGGTGCCGGAACAGCGGCCGGTGGTGAAGGTGAAGGTGAAGGAGGAGGAGAGCTAGTACTTGGTGCGGGAGCTGGAGCTGGAGATGAAGTTCCGGTGACATTGATGCTCAACTTTTGACCACCAGTACAATGGCCAGGAAAGGTACAAATGTAATAATGCTCCCCTGAAGTGCTCAGTGTGAGATTTGCAGGGCCGTTAGTCTCCATTGAATTGGGGCTCGTGGCATTGCAAGAATCATAAGCTGCCTTTGTCACTTCAGCTACGTCATGATTTCCGCTGCTAAATTTGAACACTGTGTATGTACATAAATATATAAATGAGATTAGATAATCACATAAATTAAACAATGAGTAATTAGCTGAGTTAATTAAGCTTATTGTTAATTACCAAGAACGTCGCCAACAGTGAAGGTCTTGTTTGAAGCCCAGGTAGCGTAAGTTCCAGGGGGAGGGACGATCCAACCCAACGCATCACCCACTTCATAAGTATTTGCTGCCCCCACCGAGTTCATAACCAAAGCCAGAGCGGCCATGGCTACAAAAAACGCCACGTTTGAGTTCCTTGCCATCGCTTTTGTGTTTGTGAAGGTCAGGTCGCCCCTGTTTTCTCTTGCTCTGTTTTTCTGTCCTCTGTTCTTCAACCTTACTAAAAGTTTTGGTTGTTATGGCAAGAACGGAGTAGGAGAGATTGTCTTCGTCATCCTTTATATAGAGGAAGGCCTTGCGATGATCACAAGTTCTGGTAGTTTGGAGCCGTCGGATGGATGCCACGTTTGTTCTTCGGTCAGCATGATCGACGCTTCAGATGTGCTGATGGGGTAGGCTCAACTGGTCCAACTCTGCCGAGATATGGGACTTGTAGTGTGGACATTCAGATTTCCGCGTGAGAGGCTGAGAGCTCTCACCAAACAAAAGTGGGACCACACCTTTAGGCGTTGACTAGTCATTGCTTTATATGAATTAAATTACCAAGTCTGGAAATTAGAGTTCGTAATCGAAACGAGTGAGAAAAAGTAAAGGAACGACCACATTGACCATCTAGTAGTATAACTTTTTACCAAGGAAATTGCCAAACAAAATGATAAAAAAGGGTTTCATTACAATGTGGAACGTAGAATTTGTCAAACTTAGACAGTAGGCCAAACGTGGATTCGTTAAACCCTCCATCTCCAGGTGAATTTGTGCGACTCTTTCTGCGTTTAGATTCACATACATGAAAGAATTGCGTCAATTGACAATGGAAGCACCTTTTCTTTTCTCTGTATACCCAAAAAAAAAAAAAAAAGGTCATTTGATATGTACATGTATAATTCTAAAACAATAATATATATCAAATGGAATCGAACTCTTAACCTAACTTAATTCTAACACATTTCGCCACTCACTCTCGTCACTTGAACTAACCACAATGGCTTAAATACTTACAATCAAAACTGCCTTCTTCTTGTTATTCCTACAATTTACATCAAGTATCCAAATGTCATAAGACTTTCCTAACATACTTCTTGATCATAGTTCTGGGCACTTATATTATTGCAATGTTTTGCATCCTTTTAGAGGCATGTTATTACTCTGCTAGATCGTCTGTTAGATGGTTGGTTGCACCACAAGTAAAAGAAAATCTACTTGCATCAAAATTGTTTGCTAATGACTTAAACAAAGTAATCAACTGTTGTAAAAAAGATGAATACAAGTGTCAATGATATTTAACAAGAAATCCTTAATAATCGAGTTTCTGGTTGCTTGTGTTTGTTCATATGTTACTGATATTTTGTTCATCTTGAAGACTATGTTGCTATTCAATTACCTAAAAAAAATTCCATCTGTCATCTACTCAAAATTTTCAAACAATTGTCAGCAAGTTGGTTCTTTCTTATTATTCATCAGGAAGCAGTGGATTGTAAAATTTTAGAGTTTTACAGTTTCAACTTCTGGCCCTGACGATATATCGAAATATATTTCTTTCTCATTCATTAGTTTAAGCGAAGGAGACCTTGCTCCAACCGGCCCAAAGTCCAATCGTTTGGTTTTTTTTTTTTTTTTTCTTAAACACCTAACTCCATGACTTTTTGACACATAATCTGCTATTTTCATATATAGCCTAGACTTATGAGCGCTTTCGAGGAACTTTCCAAATTGACCCACTATATATGCCTGGAACAATTTTCTGCAATCCAATTTTGACTTTATGATATATAGCATTATTATATGGTTCCATTTTATATTAGCATCAAAGAATTTGGAGTATGCTTTTTTTTTTTTTTTTTTTTTTAAATTTTTTTTTATATATAAATTTTTTATACAAGCGATATTTTATTTTAATTTAATCTAGACTATGACGGGGGGATTTGAACTTGGGTGCAGAGTGGAGAGCACACATCTGCTCTAGCCAACTTTGCTAAGTACATGTCTGAATTTGAAGTAAACATAAAGAGAAGAAGGAAACGAAGTTGAAGAGTATAACTGACTGCAATTATTCATATATATAACCACCAATGTAAACGAAAGGAGCAGCCATGATTATTACAAGGGTCAAAGATCAATGGAGGACAAGGCAAGCAAATAGCTTTGTCTGAAATCCATGTACAAAAACTGAATGTTTATATAAATCAAATCAAACCAATGCAGCCTCAGGGTATATATGTACTGCAAATATAAAGAACTAAGGTAGGAGGACTTAATACAAAGGAACAACAAAAACACATGAACTAGCTACAGCTAGCTACTAATAATCAATAGAAGAAGAAAGCTGCCATGGAAATGAGCACTAAGGTGAAGTGTCCGCTGCCAATCTTGGAAGGGGCAGAGCTGAATGGAGCAGGAGCAGATCCCGGGCCACCGGTAGAGGTAGTAGGTGAGGAAGGTGCTACGGAACCAGAGGGGGAGGTGGCTGTGCTCCTGGCTGTCACGTTAATGGCTAGTTTTTGTCCCAAGACGCAGTGGCGATAGTAGGTGGAGGTGAAGAAATGCTCACCACTGGTGTTGAGAAGGATGCTTACTGGGCTCTTTGTATAAACAGCAATCGTATTGTTGGTTGTGCAGTTTTCATAAGCTGACTTGGTCACCACAGCTACATCTTGTGTGTCATTCACAAAGTTGAAAACTGCAAAAGCAAGAAATTGAAACATTAATTGGATTATCAATTAAAAAGTTCTTAAAGTCACAGGTTTAAATTTTAATTAACAGAAAAAGTAATTAATATTTCATATGTGGCAGAGTTTAGTGTGTTTTTACCTAGAGTGTCTCCCACGATGAAAGTTTTTCCATAAGCCCAAGTGGCATAAGCATATCCGCTGCCTGGGACAATCCAACCCAACTTATCACCAACGGTGTAAGTGACTGGTCCTCTGGGGGTTGGGGCAGGAGCTGGGACTGAAGGGCTAGGGTTTGGTCCAGGATTAGCAGTCACGTTGATGGCTAGCTTTTGTCCCAATTCACAGCGCTTGTCCTTGGTGCCAATGAAATAGTACTGTCCAACAGTCTCCAACTTGAAATAGGCCGGGCCAGTTGTCTCAACTGTGGCATTGGTGTTTGAAATATTGCAGGATTCAAAAGCCTCCTTGGTCACCCTGGCTACATCTTGTTCTCCGGTTGTGAAGTTGAACTCTAAAGTTGAGCAAACAGATCTCATCAAACATCAATGAATTGAACATAACCCAATTAAAATATACTTCGTTACTTAATTCGGTCTTAAACTAATTAATTAATTATTTACCTAGAGTGTCTCCCACATAGAAAGTCTTGCCATAAGCCCATGTAGCATAAGCAATTTCACCGCCTGGCGGGACAATCCATCCGAAATCATCACCAACGACGTAAGTCACGGGGCCTCTGGGTGCAGGGCTGGGTTTAGGTGCAGGGCTTGGAGTAGGGGATCCATGTTCTGCAGTCACGTTGATGGCTAGCTTTTGTCCCAACCCGCAGTGCTTGTCCTTGGTGCCAATGAAATAGTACTCTCCAATGGTATCCAAAGTGAAATTGGCCGGACTAGTTGTTTTAAGTGTGATGGGGTTTGTCGAATTGCACGTCGTGAAAGCTTCCTTTGTGACCCTGGCTACATCTTGGTCACCGTTTGTGAAGTTGAACACTGAAAATTGATCAAACACATAATCAGTACGGCACGTATATAAGGCTTATGGGCAATCTGCCTTACATTAATATTGCTAAAACAACTACTGTTGGCTTATATTTGTATTTTGTACGTACCAAGAATGTCACCGACGGCGAATGTTTGCGTTTCAGCCCAGGCTTCATAAGCGTAGGCACCTCCGGGAGGGACCAGCCATCCAAATTTATCTCCAACCAAATGGGTTTCCTGTGCTGCTGTGGAGTGGAGCAGAGCAACCACTGTTATGGCTAGAATGGCTATTGTGAGTTGTCTGCCCATGTTTGTCTTTTCGTAACTTGTAAGTGCTTCTTTTCTTGTCTAGCTCTCTCTTGTTTGTATGTTAACGCGTCTGTTTCTGTGAAGAATGAGATTTCGGTTGCGGTCTATTTTATAGAGGTGTTAGCAGGAAGAAATTATAGGGAAGCTTTGGTGATAATGACATTAACAAATTAATGTCAGCAAACGTTTCCCAATTTTATACTCGATCACATTTCATTCAAGGAGGTCTAGAAACCTATGACCAATCTACAATTGAAGTGGACCCAGTTGATTTAATCAAATGAAGACTTGCATGGAAGAGGCAATCTCAGGACAGAAAGCCCTGCTTTGGTTAGGTCTGTTAGTGAACTTTATTTGCTACTTGTCTTGAAAGAAAGAAAAAAATAAAAAAAATCTCAAATCGTATACACCTTCCATTGGTATTTGTTAATTTTGTAGAAATAAAATACAGTGGGATAGTTGGATAAAACACTAACATTTGTTTGTAAATGAAGTCTTATTTCATAAGCCTAGTCTGCAATATCATCTTAATTTTATTATGCAGCCTCTAGAGTGAGCTTGAAATGATCCAGCATTTTCAGCGTAACGCGTTTTCGACCATCTGTAACTTCTAAAAGACGAATAACCTTTGATTTGCCCTGCATATTCATATAGTTTTAGAACCTATCTACAATCAAATAGTCAAAATTTCTAAACTTTTTAATCTATTGCTTGGGGATTGCTCTACTCTATTCTAAGACACCAAATCTTTTTTCTTCTCTCACATTACTGCAGGCTGCATCCATAAGTTTCGGCAGAATGGCATATGTCATTGAGTTTGTAATGCCTACCAATAATAACATGACTTTTGCCAAGGCATTGGAGATCCTCTAAGCCTTCTTTCTCTGACTTCTAATGATAACAGAAGTTTCATACAGCTATTATACCTTTTATTTTATTTAATTAACATGACCGGTTCACTTTAATCCTTCCATAATGAAGAATTATTAGTCTTATATTACTGCATAATCTCTCCACTTCATGTTGACTGGCCAGGCCAGAATTATTAGTCTATAAGACATATAATAATATATTTACAGAAACAGAGACACCCTTGCTCATGAATTTGGTTGGTTCCTCTGCTATAGCTAAGGCATAACCAGTGGAAGAGGTAGTTTATTTTACATTTCAGATGATCAAATGTTCAGTAGGTGAAGAAGGGTCCTCTGTTTCTGTTATATAAATCAGGGGAAGAAAAACACTGATGCTCTCTTTTGAATAATAGTTCTCACCAATAAATAAGAAGAAGTTCAAAGTTTAATGCTTGTTTTTTACATTT